AGCCAACTTACATCTGAATTGCTCTTCTATCAGCAGCTACACTGCACAGGAAAAACCATGATCTCCCAAAACAAATTGGAAATATTGAAACTGATCTGTGAAGATCCTGCAACGAACGGTCAGATGGTAGAAAACACGCAAGAACCCTAAGAAAAACCTAATCCCCTAAAAGACTTGAACTCCTAGAAGACAGGAATTATGCGCGGTTTATTTTTTATCCGCGGTGTTCAGCAATGCCTGACAACACACGCTCAGCAAAGCCTTGCGTGCTGAAAGAGTGGCTCTGTGTAGATCTTCAAAACGACACTGAGTAAGAACCGTAATCACAGGGATGTGCCATGCGTGCTCAGTGCAGACTTCCCTGAAGGGTAAAGTATTCACAAACGAGCCGCTGGCATTTGCTCCTCGAACGATAACACCAGACCTGGCCTCATTGATTTGAAAGTTGACGGCCTTATTAAAGAAAGAAAAAGAAATGTCTCAAACCAGGCAAAGTAACTTCTCCTTCTTCCAGATCTGCTTCAAAACTCACATTTGCCTACCAGGGACATAACCATTTCTCTTGTCCTGAGTTTCATACGTGTGTGACTTTTAACCTTCTAGCTCAAAATTCATCTTTTCTTAAATGATAGAAAGAGTCCAATGAGGCCAGGCATGGTGGCTCACGCCTGTAATCCTAGCACTCTGGGAGGCCGAGGCAGACGGATCGCTCAAGGTCAGGAGTTCGAAACCAGCCTGGGTGAGACCACCACCTCTACTAAAAATAGAAAGAAAATTAATTGACCAACTAAAAACATAAATACAAAAAAAATTAGCCGGGCATGGTGGTGCATGCCTGTAGTCCCAGCTACTCGGAGGCTGAGGGCAGGAGGATCCGTTGAGCCCAGGAGTTTGAGGTTGCTGTGAGCAGGCTGATGCACGGCACTCCACTCTAGCCTGGCAACAAAAGCGAGACTCTGTTCTGCAGAAAAAAAAAAAAGAAAGAAAGAGTCAAATGAACCTTAATAAAAGACTAGAGCTGATTTGTACTTCTAGGAATTAAGCACCCCTGCTCAGAGGATCTGGGAGTTTGACCAAAATTAACACAAAACAAGTAGGAAGAGTCAGCTAGCTCATGGACAGGGCTGCCTTGTGCAGTGCACATGAAGGTCTAAGGCTGCAAGGAGTTCCGGAAGCATACTAGAGGAAATCGACAGCCAGCGGTACCAAGCCAATTGATTCGAATTAAGACTCTAGATCGTGCCTGGCACTACCTCATAAGCACCTGTTAGATGTTTGGCAACATGAGCTGATGTAAATTTTTGTATAGTAGCATTATGATAAAAAAAAAAAGCAAAAAACAAGCATGTGAAAGACGTTTATGTCGTGGAAAAAATTTTATGACCCTAATTGTACAAAAACTAAATGTAGGCAGGTGCGGTGGCTCACGCCTGTAATCCTAGCCAGCTGTTGGGAGGTGTGAGGCGGCGAGGATCGCTCAGGGTCAGAGAGTTCGAGACCAGCCGCTGAGGCAAGAGCAAAGACCCTGTCTCTACTAAAAACAGAAAAGTTAACCAGGCCTGGTGGCACACATCTATAGACCCAGCTATTCCGGAGGCTGAGGGCAGGAGGATCGCTTAAGCTCAGGAGTTTGAGGTTGCTGTGAGCTATGATAATGCCATTGCACTCTACCCTGGGCAACAGATCTTATCCCCAAAGAGTACAATATGCACGTGAGTGTTGTAAAGGCTCTGAAATATTCTGCTATAAATACGTTATTAGCCCAACTTAGTTGACATTTGAGCCCCATTCTGGTAGCGACTGTCAGCTGAAAACACTTTGGGGAGCACCCTTCTCCAAACTGCGGTTTCTCAACCTCAGCACTTGGGGCTGGGTCATTTTTGGTGTGCAGCCCTTCCCGGTGTGTCCCTGGCTTCTGCTCACCAGATGCCAGTAGCAATCCCCCCAACCCTAGCTGTGACGGCCACAAATGTTTCTCCAGACATTGCCAAATGTCCCCTAGGAGACAAAAATCGCCCCTAGTTGAGAACCACTGCTCTAAACTAATAAAAAGGAAAAACCTCATCGGTTGTCAGCCTTTCAATTATGGTTAAAAAAAAAAAAAAAAGCAGCCTTTCTTAGATAATTTAAGAAATGTTTTGAAGTCTGTTGTGCACACAGCGACCAGATAGATGGCTTCAGGGGACCTCTCCAAAACCAAGCGCGTTCACTAACTAAACATACAGAGCCCTTCTACCAAGAAGCTAGCAAGAGCTAAGCCGAGGATATTTGCTTCTGTAGTTCTATTTTTTAAAAACCTATAGTCATATCATGCAAATCTAGCCAAACTGACAGAGTTTAATCCAAATTAGCAGAAAGTTTGATTTACCGAATTTCTAAAGACATGAAGTTTAACTTAAAAAAAAAAAAAAAAGGCCGGGTGCGGTGGCTCACGCTGTAATCCTAGCACTCTGGGAGGCCGAGGCAGGCGGATCCCTCAAGGTCAGGAGTACGAGACCAGCCTGAGCAAGAGCGAGACTCCCATCTCTACTTACAAAGAAGAAATTAATTGCCCACTAAAATATATAGAAAATTAGCCAGGCATGGCGGTGCATGCCTGTAGTCCCAGCTACTCGGGAGGCTGAGCAGGAGGATCGCTTGCCCAGGAGTTTGAGTTGCTGTGAGCTAGGCTGACGCCACGGCACTCTAGCTAGGACAATAGAGTGAAAGTTTGTCTCAAAAAAAAAAAAAAAAAACCACTGGTTGAATTAGACAGCAAGCGCACATACCAGCATCTATCCGGGAGTTCCTGCACAATGTCTATTTGTAGCAACTGCATCACTTAGCCAAGCTTCCGGCTTATTGCCCATTTAAGAGGGAATGTGTCTTTCAATATCTATTTCTGCCAAGAGAGATGGTCACAACAACCAGTGACTACCTCTAAAACCTCTCTTGAGTGAACCATCCCTCCTAGAGAGGCAGACTTGGGGAAAGAAAAACAAAAGACAATTTCTTGGCCTGTAATCCTAGCACTCTGGGAGGCCAAGGCGGGAGGATCCTCTGAGCTCAGGAGTTCGAGACCAGCCTGAGCAAGAGTGAGACCCCATCTCTACTAAAAAATATAGAAAGAAATTAGCCGGACAACTAAAAATATATACAGAAAAAGTTAGCCGGGCATGGTGGTACATGCCTGTAGTCCCAGCTACTCGGGAGGCTGAGGCAGGAGGATTGCTTGAGCCCAGGAGTTTGAGGTTGCTGTGAGCTAGGCTGACGCCACGGCACTCTAGCCCGGGCAACAGAATGAGTCTCTGTCTCAAAAAAAAAAGACAATTTCTTGCTTATTTGAGACATGTAAGTGGACCTAATCGGATTATTCAGGCCCTGGTCGGCATGTTGGTTAATACCCCCAATTCTATATAGAGCACTAGAACTCAGACACCAGGGGGGAAAGGCAAATTATAACCAAAATAAAAGTGTACTCACAAGTGACACTGTATGGCTCTCTTCAGTAGTCCCATGTGAGCAGATAATTGCAAGACCTTGATTTGTCTTTGTACTGTATAAATCAGGCCTAAAAGTAAACTGATGCTCTTGGTTGTGTCTTCCTGGTTTCTGACAATGCTGGACTCAAAGTCCCTGTCCTGGGAGGTCGAGGAAGGGCAGCAGGGTCAGGTCTGAATGCAAAGCCTAAGCTCACCCCTCACGAGCCAGCACTTGTGGCACAGATTCCAGGTGACACAAGGGCCAAGCAAGGTCAGCAGGGAAGAGTGAGCCAGGTTGGGGGGTGGGGGAGCAGGGGCGTTACCCTTCCAGAAATGGAAGACTGTTTGTGCTCCTTTCTCATGCTTAAAGAGGAGAAGGGGAACTCGGTTGCAGTTCTGTTTTTCAAGGAAAAGGAGAGAGAATTCTCCTGCCAACCCCGAACCAACATTTTGGCTTAGCTCTTCATTCTGAGTGGCACAGGGACCGGATTTTAGATAAAGAAGAGACGTTTCTGTTACCTTGCAAGGCAGGAAATGGTTTTTTGGTCCTGGGATTCCTCTTCTGACTGTGTGGGTGTCATGATTTCCTGTTTCTTTTTTCTTTCTTTCTTTCTTTTTTCTTTAAACGTTTACATCTAGAAAATATATCTAATGCCCTAATTTTTTTTTTTTTGTAAATTCCAGGATAGAAATCAAAATGCGACTTTATTTTCTGCGTCTTGGAGAGATCATTTTGAATCTGCTTTTTGTGTAGCATGTCAAGTCTACAATGCAAAATGCTTTTTTTTTTTTTTTCCCTTGGAGGAGATTAACATTGTCAGGCTGTTCGACTCAGAGGACAGTTCAAACTGGCTGCTAAAATAAACACACAGGTTTGACAGCTGTGGTTTTTTCACTAATTCCACAAAGAGAGAAAAATGATAGACATCAAACCATCATATTATTATTACTATTACTATTATTATTGAATATAATTTTTCCAAGAAGTGCTGGATTCTGCTCTTTAAAATGCCTTTTTAGGGGAAGCACTATTTTGGTCTCTTTTATTTTTTTTTTAAGAGTTCAATAATTCTCACCTAGTTTTTGACGTAACAATGTGAGTTGGGAGATTAATGTAATACCACGGTTCCCATCACGCATGGCTTGTGGAAATGCAGATTGCTGGGCCCAGCCCTGGAGTTTCTGATTCTGTAGGTCTGGGTGGGGCCTGGTGATCTGTATTTCCAGCTAGTTCCCAGGTGATGTTGATGCTATTGCACCAGGGAACACCCTTGGAGAATCGCTGGTCTAATGTAAAGGAAATCACACTGGCTGTTGGGGTCCTAGGTTCTGTGGTCCTAGGATTCTGGCATTTTAAAACTTGATGATTCCTTGGAAATTGTGGAGTCCAGGGATTGGCAGGCAAATTTTTCCCGTAAAGACCTATATAAGTAAATATGATAGGTTTTCTTGATCTCCATAGCAACTACTCAACTCCTACTTGACTCTGTTGTTATAGTGCCAAAGCAGCCATAGACATACGCACACAAACGAGCGTGGCCCTGTTCCAGTAAAACTTTATTTGCACAGACAGGCAGCAAGCCAGACTCGGGCCACACCATTCGCCAACCCCGGTCTGGTCTCAGCTTTCATTTTGCGGATGAGGAGATGGACTTCTGGAGAGGTTAGCTGACAGGGACAATTACACAGGTGGCCAAGTGCGTGCCACGTGACTACTGACCAGCTAGTGGACTTGAGGCTTTACCATACACCTGTAAAATAAGAAGGCATGTCAGTCATCTGTAGTTGTTTGCTAGGACTGTCCCAACAAGACACCACGTAGCTTCAACAACAGAAATTTATTTCTCCCAGTTCTGGAGGCTGGAAGTTCACGACAAGGTGCCAGCAGGGCTGGTTTCTCCTGCAGCCCCTTTCCTTAGCTTGCAGACGGCCACCTTCCTGTGTCCCCACGTGGCCTTTTCTCTGTGCTCAGACATCCTGGTGTCTCTTCCTTTTGTAAGGACACCAGTGAGATTGGATTAGGGTCTGCCCTGATGGCTTCCTATTAACAGCCTCTTTATAGGATCTGTCCCCAAATACAGTCACATTCTGAGGTGTCCTGTTGGTCAGGCCTTCAACGTGTGAATTCGAGGGAGCAGGGGTGGCGGGTGGGAGGTGGGGCACAATTCAGCCCGTAACCTTATCTATTGCTATATAACAAATTACTGCAAAATATAGCGGCTTAAAACAAGAACACATGTTGTCTCCCAGCTTCTGTGCGTGACGACTCCAGGAGAGGCTTAGCTGGGGGCCTCTGCCCCACGTGCTCTCGCGTTTGCAGCGACAGAGCCCTCCAACGCCCAGCTGGGGAGGGGTCCAAGTCTGCTCACGTGGTTCCTGGGGGACTCTGTTCTTTGTGGGGTGCTGGACTGCAGTCTCGGGGCCTGGGGGTTGGTGGTGGAGCCCTGCCTGCCACTGGGGCCTCTTGACAGGGCGACCCACCATGTGGCAGCTGTTCCCACAGGGACAGCGAGAGAGGGAGACAGGAAGAGCAGGTCTCTCTCTAACCCTCCCTCAGGAGGGACCTCCTGTCATTTGTGCCACATTCTGTTTGTTACAAGCAAGCCACGAGTCCAATAAGTATCAACGCTCAGTAAACTGCAGGGACCATACACAGCTTGCAGTATGCGTGTACACACAGAACAAAGAATTATCTGACCCAAAGTGCTGACGTTACAAAGATTGAGAATCCCCGGTACACGGCGGATAGTTAACTGTGTCTTTCTAGGCCCTTCCCAACTCTATGGGAAAGTAAGCCGCCTCTGTTTTCAATTCAGTTTTGAGAATGTGGTTTTAGGCAAGGCATCTAATTTTTCTGCCTTGATTTCCCATGTCTGCAAAATGGGAATGATCCTCTGTCATCTGTTCCCCTTCTCTCTCTTCTCCCCTGAGAGCTGCTAATGAATGTTTGCCAAGGACTTTGAAGACTCTAATTACTGTTATCCCCAGGATATCAGCTCGAGATTGTAGGGCACCTGCGAGTCCCACAGACAGGAGATACCGAGCAAAGGGAGCCGGTCCTGTCCTTGCTGTGCTATTTATCGTTCTCCAAAGGCAGTATCAAGCCCTTAGGCTCGAATTACTCAAAGTCAAATTACTCAAATCAACTCTAGAATCTGCTGAAGGAAACCAAGGGTTCTCACCATTAAATCACAGCCTTTCCCAAAGTCAGAGCCACGGCGCTTGAGCTGGGGGCTTCAAGGTGCCAGCCAGGAAGGTTCAGAAAATGGTAGCATAGAACCAGTCTTTGTTGATTGACTGCTTAATGCAGAATTCCAAGAAAATGCATAATAAAACTGGGGGTACCTAAGTCTCTGAGTTGCCATCACAGTTCAATAGACCAAAAAACCTTTCTACTACCTCCCATTGCCCTTAAAAAAAAATAAGTTTATAATTCAAAGTCAGCTGCGTGACTACAAAGTTGTGTCTCATGAAGTTCTTGCCGAGCAGGTGACAGGCTGATGTTCAACACGAATATACTCGCTTAAGCAGAGACGAGCCCCACCGCTGTCTTCACCTCCCATCACTGCATCCCGACCCAAAGCACAGCTCTGTTTGGAAATGGTGCCAGTCTCTAGGTCAGAGGCCCGTAGAGATCAACCTAGAATGGAGCACATGTCGCCATGAGAGCCGCAGCGGGAAGTCAGGAATATGAAGACATGTCGTCTGTCCTCATTCAGCACCGGCTGACCCAAGAAGTCACGGCTGGCATCAAATCACAGCAACCCCACACGCTGGATGTGCGTAAGCATTCATTTGAGTGGCACAGCCGATAAAGAGCAATTCAGAGAAAAGGACTCGGAATGGGTTGGGCAGCCGTCCTAGGGTCAGGAAGCATAGGTAGGAGTTCTGGGAAGGAGAAAGAAGTGGCCTGAACATCAAACAACCCCATTAAAAAGTGGGCAAAAGAAATGAACAGAAGCTTTTGAAAAGAAAAGAGACTAATGGCCAAAAAAAACATATGAAAAAATGCTCGACATCTCTAATCATCATGGAAATGCAAATCAAAACCACAATGGGATAGCACCTAACTCCAGTGAGCATGGCTTTTATCAAAAAGTCCCCAAACAACAGATGCTGATGTGGATGCGGAGAGAAAGAACACTCATACACTGCTGGTGGGACTGCAAACTAGTACACCTTTTATGGAAAGTAGTATGGAGATTCCTCAAAGAACAAAAAGTGACCTACCATTTGATCCAGCAATCCCTACTGGGGATTTACCCAAAGGGAAAAAAAAAAGACATTTTATAAAAAAGACACTTACACTTGAATGTTTATATAGCAGCACAATTCATAATCACAAAGATGTGGAAATAACCCAAGTGCCCATCAATACACGAGTGGATTAATGAAATGTGGTATACGTATACCATGCAGTATTACTCAGCCATAAAAAAAACAACAGTGAACTAATACTGCCTGTGGTAGCCTGGATGGAACTGGAGACCATCCCCCTAAGTCAAGTATTGCAAGAATGGGAAAACAAACACCACCTGTACTCACCATTAAATTGGAACTAATCGATCAACACTCAGGTGCACATACGGAAGTAAAACTCAACGGAAATCAAGCAGGTGGGAGGGGGAGGAGGGGATGGGTAAATTCACAGCTAATGGGTACAATGCACACTATATATGGTGATGGACACACTTATAACTTCAACTCAAACTGTACATAAATAATTCATATAACCACAACTTTTATACCCCCGTAATATTCTGAATTTTTTTATATAAGTGGCCTAAACCTTCCTCCTCAGCTCCCTACCAATTGCAAGGGTATCATTCGGATTACCCAGGCAGATTTTTCCCTCTGGGGTGAAGGCCCTGAGTTCTAGCATCATGGTGTTGCTGTTTCCTTGCCCAGCGGCATGGCTGTGGCTGCTGTCCTTGGGTCAGGCTCCCTGGAGTATGTCATAGATCACAATGGAACTGAGCTAGACCTGTGGTCTCCAAGCCGAGGCCCGACATGCTGAGTTTCTAACCGGCTCCCCCCGGACCTGGAGACTCCAGGTGGAGAACCACGGAAGCAGAGGATGGCTAGATAAGAGCTAAGAGCAAATTCTCCCTTTGGGAAAAAATTTTGCAAAATGCACATCCAACCAGAGGCTGGGCAGAAGCATCCCGGCCTGGGCAGGTATTACATCATTTCTTTTTTAGTAAGTGTTCTAACATCAGGAACTCAGGAAGTCTCAAAGACCTGGCTCCACTAGACAAATATTTCTTGAACCTCTGCCACGTACCAAGAGCTTTACCGTGATATCATCCTGCTGAAATGCTCATCTTATGTTGACGGGTCTGAGTTAAACGATGCAAAAGTGCCTCTTTGAGTTGACACAAATGAAAGGAGGAGACAGACCTGGATCTCACAAGAGATTTCAAATGCACACACACCGCACACCCTCAAGTGACCTAGCACAGGAAAGGGCGGAGGCCAGAAAAAGGGACCAAAGAGAAGAAAACAACCTGAGTTAGACAACAGATAAACTACCCTGTGGTTAGGTCCAGAGCGTAGGAATTGAATCAATTCTGGAAAGTGGTTACCCCCAGATCGGCTCGATTCTCACCTTGCACACTGTGACCAGCAATTTTTTTTTTCTTACTTTTTAAAATGGCTTAAGCAGTAAAAGCACCTTCCACCCCATTTGGCATCTTATAGACCAGGCATCCTCAAACTATGGCCCGCAGGCCACATGCGGGTGTTTTGCCCATTTGTTTTTTTACTTCAAAATAAGATATGTGGAGTGTGCATAGGAATCTGTTCATAGATAGTCTGGCCCTCCAATGGTCTGAGGGACAGCGAACTGGCCCCCTGTTTACAAAGTTTGAGGGCCCCTGTTACAGAACCTCCTACTGAATTCTTAGGGAGCAGGTATATACTACTCTCACCTGTGGCACAGGTGAGCTCACACCGTGCGGTGAAAACCACAGTTAGTCCCTGCCAGCAGTGGTGCTTTTCATTTCTTTTTAATGAGTGAAGTTGAAAAAAAAACCAAGTTCACCAGCTGAAACTGCCAGGGAGATTTGAGAGGGCAAATGCAATTATTAACTCAGTTGAAATGTATTATTAATAATAATGCTTAGCTCTGTTGTAGCATTTTCTGGCTTCAAAGCCGTTTACAAACATCAACTAATTAATCCTTACCTCAGCACGGTGAAGTAATTAAGTATGATTATCCCTATTTTATAGAGGGGGAAACTGAGGCACCCAGAGGTTAAGGGCCTTACCCAAGGCCACAGAAAGGATACGGCTGTTGGAATCACGGACATTCTCTGACTTCCAATCACACGTTGAAAAGTTCTCATGGCCGGGGAAAAGCGAGGTCGTCTGGCAGGAACTATCTCTACAGAAAAATGGATTGATGAGGAAAATCTCAGGGCCCTTGTTTTCCATAGCACCTTGCTACAGACAATCACAATCTTATTTCTTTTTAGTGTTTTCCTTCCTCATTAATTTTTTAAAAGCATGCTGAGTTGGGGGAAATGCCAAAGCATTTTAATGATGTATGAAATAAAAAATAAGCATAAAACCTTCTGCCCACACAGAGCGAACACAAGCCCGGTATTTGGATCTGTACATTTCTTTTCCCCTCTTGCGCCTGCAGCCACCTGTGCCCTGTAGCTCAGCAGCAGCCAGAAACTGCTTTGGGTTTTTTTGTTTTTGTTTTTTTTTAAGAAAATGAACATCAAAACTTAGCAGGCTCAGCCAGAAGAACAGGACTTTGTCTTTATTGCTCTTTTACAAATGCTATACTCTCTTCCATTCCCCTGAACTTTTCTCAGAACTGCCACCCCCCAACACACACCAGGAAAGCACTGATGGGGTAGGAGAGACAGTGGGGAGGTCCCTTGTATTTTGCCTTGTTATCTCTCCTCCTCTCTTCTGTTTTCAAATCTTTTCTTCAACAGGAAAGGTAAGCGCTGGCACTTTGCAAGTCTGCCCACTCTTGGCCTAAAGGCCCTGTGGTTGGTAAAGGGCTGAGATGGGGCTGGAGGCACCAGGGTCGCATCTTGGGGACGCCAGGTCCACAGGTGTCTTCCAGGGGCTTCTTCCTGCACCTGTCCCTGCACCTGTGGCAGGTGGGGGGGCAGCAAAGGCACCAGGGCAGCTCCCCACACCCAGCTTAGCCTTCTCCCCCAGCCCCATCCGAGCCCTTTCTCCCAGCCCCGCCCCCTGCTCGGCTCACGCACTGCGCATGTGCAAACTGTCCCTGCAGCCCCCGCAGTGCCTTGGGCCCTGCTGCCTGTCAAGGTTCACCTTAGGGGTGTCCTTTGGGACCCTCTGTCAACCCTAGAGCTCGGCTGAGTTTCCATGTGCAATGGAAGGTGTTTCCATGCCAGGCTCACTCACTATACTAGGAAGAACATCAAGGGTGGGCTGGGCCTCGTTCATTTCGGCATCCTAATGCCTGGCACGGTGCCTGCACGCAGTAGGTGCTCAATAAGTGTTTGTTGAACGTAAACACGAGTGAGCAGTCGCTTGGGCCCTGCCTTGTACTGGCAGGTGCATAGCAAGGCGTTTGTTTCCATTCCCATCCGCCTTCCCACGTGCACACCTGTCCCACCCAGAGGCTTCCAAACCGGCTCATCGCCAGGGTCACGCAGACCCTGACACAGAGATTTTACCTAATTCTGACACGTAGCCAGGTTTGGGAATCATTGCTAAAGTCTAGTCGGAGAAATCTGAAACGATGGCAAAATGATGCTTCCGGAGAAATGGAAATGAAATAGTAACGTTCACATAAAGCGCTAGACAAGCCATGGCCAGAGGGGCGGGGAGGGGGGATGTCCTCACGACCGCTGGAATTTTAGCTTTTCAGAGCAAATAACCTCCAGCAAAATAAATTTAGTCAAAGACTTAGTGTAAAAATCCAGAGCACCTGTCAAGCAAACCACTTCTCTTTCAAGAAAGCAGAACAAAAAAAAAAAAGAAAGAAAGAAAGAAAAAGAAAAAGTAGCAGTTCTCTTTAAAGCCTACAAACTTGAGTCTTCGGTAAATGCCAAAATATCTTCGATAACACATTTACACACCTATAAAAACAAAAAGTTCAGTCAGAAATGCCAATAAATGATTCTGATCCTGTCTTAAAGCCATACAGCTGCAAAAACATAAAATATCTCTCAGATTTTGAGAGTGACTGCTTCAGAAAAGAGCCAACATACAGACTCTAAGTAGAATGCCTTTTTGAAATTTTAATGGCAAAATGTTGTCTTTCTTTTGCCTTTTTAGTGTATGTACATTATTTCTTTTTTGCAAAATTGACTAAGGAGACATATGAAGGCCATAAATTTACGATAGGAGGGGAGAAAAGAATTTGTGATTGGGGGTAAGGAAGCTTATGGGTGGAAAGTAAGTGGAAATTTTTACTGCTTAGGAGCCAGACATGAAAAGGCAGCTGGGACAAGCCAAAGGCAGGTGTAAGAGGAATGTCCCATGCTGTGCTGGGCTTGGTTGAACCAAGCCAGTGATGGGCAGACATGAGATCTGTCACCCCCTGGAGAGAACGTTCCAGCATCTGCCATCCCAGCCACTGGCCAACCCCAGGTTCGGTTGGGTTTCCGTGAAGCCACTTTCAGATGTCTCGGGTGTCGTTCTGCCCATTTCTGACCCGGCTGGATGTGCTTGTTTGTGCAGCTTTTCCCCCTGCACGGCAACGAGTCGCTCTGTTGTAATTCCAGTTCCAGCGAGCTTGGTACATCTTTAACAGTTCTCCTGTTGTTATTAACTCAGTGACTAACTGCGAGGTGTTTGGCTTTTGAAACAGTGCCACAAAAACTTCCCTCTCATCTCTGGGTGATGTCAGCCCCATAAACGGGAGTGCTGGAAGAAACAATAGAGATTTCAGCGGTGAAATTTAATGAGGTGGACCCTTCTTTGCCCGAAATCTAAAATCACCTCCCTTTTCTGCAACCAGGCAGTTAAAAGGATCTCTGAGTGAAATTAGGATGTGGATCCAGATTTAAGAGAAATTTTGGTGCTTTGGCTTTGAAATTCCCTGGGGAGGCAGGCCGGGAATGGTGAATTCTTTTTCACATTCTCTACTACTGGTTGACTACAAGTAGCTCTTATGGAGACTGTGAAAAGACACTGCTGATTTCTCAATGCAGTTGGCACACATGGTCCAAACAAGCCTCAAAGCAGCCCTCAAAGGCAGGACACAGTGAGTTTAGCACCAGAAACTAAAGGACATGAGCCTTGCAGAGCCACAGTAAAACACCCAACAAGTGGGCAGTTCAAGGGGAGAGTAAAACCCAGGGCTCTTCATGACAGGGGCTCAGATTCATTCAAAGTTAGAGAAACAGTCGAGACATCAGTGTACGCTGAAGAGGGCTATGTGTGCCCAAAGGAAAGACAGTCATGATCCTCATTAAGAATATGATTTTAAATCCACAGTTTAACATTGCAGAGGAATCATGAAATTTAGCACTCGTGTTGACCTGCTGACGGCTAACGCATGATATTAATTAATGGTTCACGGGACCCTGGCCAAGACCTACATTAAACAGACAATGCTTGTGCTGACATAGCACAATCTCTTCAACGAGCACAATTAACTTTTCACTTTTTTTATGGTTTCCTTCAACCAATGCTGCGGAGAGGCGTTTCCATCTGCAGTCTTCAACGGCCTCCTCGTAGCTCTGAGGTCTTTTAGATGCAGCAGAAAAACAAGCCACACAATGCTCGGTGTTGCAACGTTTGGCTCAAAATAGAGTCCGGGAGCTCAGTCAAAAGCATGGGCTTGCACTTCTAAATTCCGAGTTTGGATTGTTGTTTTTTAATTCTTCTTCCTATGCTGCGATCACTTTCTCAGGTGGTTATTAGGCTCTTGAGAGAATTTGTTTTACTTAAAATCCAATCCCAAATACTCAAGGTGAATAAGTGAGTGTCTCAAGAAAACTTTCTTCACTTATGATGTATGGGAGGCATCTTTTGTCTCTGCTGGTTAAATGACCCCACGACATAAAGGACCACTATCCACGATGAACCAATCCCCAAAATCACAGCAGAAATTAAGACTTTCGAACATAAAAGAAGCAAACATCTGCACTATGCTTGGGAAAGGATATCATGCTATCACTCTCAATTTTTTCTTAGCACTCTTTTCTTTTTCATTTGTTTTCTTCTCAATTTGTATCTTAGCAGCTAAGAGTCCACGGAATGAGCAGCCAGTTTCCAAATAGCAACTTGGGACCTGAATTTTGGAGCTAGGCAAGGGATTTCGAACTTACATCATTATATACCTGCACATCAAATAACAGAATCTGCATTGCCATGAAACGAGCACAACCTTGCATTTATAAAATCCTTCACTTAAGTAAACACATTTCTGTCATTGAAGAACAGCCACACCCAAGATACAAATTATGCCTCCATCTTTAGGCAGAAATAATATAGCCCTAGAAGCCTCTGTGATTTTTAAGAAGTTTAGCCACACGTGAAAACATGCTCCCATAGATAATTCTCAATCCACAGAGAAAATCTCGACTAGCGGTATTGGTACATGTGAACTGCCTGGAATATCACTATGCATTCTTTGAAAGAAAAGAAATCTACAAGAGCTCCAGACCATTCGGTTCTTCCTTCCTATTCTGTTTCCTTTAATGTCAGTTTTATGGAATGAGTATTGATAGATAATAAACTACAGCCACAAAAAAAAAAAATGCTAGTCAATGGATATACCTGTTTTTCCCCTACGGTTTTCTATCCACTGGCTCAATATTCTATAAACTACAAAGCAGCAGAGTCAGCATGATCAGCTTACTAAAGACCTCAAGCAAGACCAGTCCAAGAGTTTAACAGCACACTTTTCACTTATTTCTAAGCCAGGGTCGTCTTAATCCTGTCGTATTGTATCTTCAAAGTACTCAAAAATAAGTCTCATGAATTATGTCCTAAGGCAGGCTAGCTTTACAGATAGGAAAACTTAGGCAGAAAGATGAGAAATGATTTATTCAGCCCAGGCCAGCATGATCTTCCCTCATCCACTGCTAAATAAATCCCACTAATTTCCTCAATCTGATAAATTACTGATAAAATCAACGGGAACATGAATCTCAATGTTCTTGTCTCCCAAATGAGGACTCAAATCAGCGTTTGTTTGCATATGCATCTCCAAAATGAGTGATTTAGGATTACATTGTTTATATCTCTTGGCACAGTGTGCCTTTGGGCACGAAGAACACAGGCCTTTTTAGTGGCAGAAGTTGCTCTTGTCACCTGCACCCTGAACCTTCCAGAGAGAAGACAAAGGGAAGCTGGGTGCAAAAGCTGGAAATTTTAGCACAAGATGGGATCTCCCACTTTCTTCCTGTGTGGCTGATTCAAGGTAGGTGGTGAGCATGA